GGACTTCAGATGATGAAAAATTAGAGAAGTATGTATGCAGTTGAGTCAGATTTATCGCGTGGTCATCATCGAGGAAAACGAAGGATGAGCTGGCGTGAAGGCAGAAGCGATGAACAAAGCGCAAATTGACAATTGTCTTTAATGTCAGATTGAGGTAGGTGTCGGTGTAGTTCGCAAGCAGGATGTCATCGAATTGCTCGATCTCCTTAAGCAGCTCAGGTGGCACTTGGTCATTCGCAGGAAGCCCGAGACTGAAGAGGATCCCCACGGTGACATTAAGATGCTCAGTCTGTCGACGAATGACTTTCCGCAACCGAAGGCGTTGTGCGTAGTTGGTGAGGGCGCTTTTGACAATGATCATCGTTAAGTAAGCATCGGTGCTCCCCGGCTGACAAACTGACTTACTGCTTCGGACGACGGACAGACTGGGGTTGTTGATGGTATTCTGCAGAAAGAGATGGAGGGCGGATACTCACTTGCCGTTAAACCATGCAAGCTAGCATGTGGAGTTAATATCCTTTATTTTCAATAATGCAACGTACTGCGCTACGCAATTAAGATATATAAATGTTGGGCACGGATATAACATGAAACCCATTCTAAATAACCAAGGATAGGTCCACGTGTCTTACGGGACTGACGGACCTAGGAGTTATACGGGTGGGACAAATGAATTAGCAGGTGGACAAGCAGAAAAGGGCTTTTGTGATGACCGTTATCAAAAACATACAAAAACTAAAGTAGTTTAACAGTAGTAATGACATACTGCCTATATCATGCGCCGCTGTGTGGCTGCTGGTTGTGCTCGAGAGGTAGCCCGTAAGGTACGACGGAACGAGTGAGTTCCGTAAGAACGACCGATAAGCGCCCACTACAACTAAAGTAACTCCGTTTATGACCTTGAAAGCGAATCGGAAAAGTAAAATAAGATGATATTTTACAGTAAGGTGGTTACATACTAACGGCACACGTACTAGCCAAAAGCCCATACACGCAGGTTTCACCGATATTCTGCCGCTGCATGACACAGCTGCGAGGGGTTCGGCACATCAGTGTGTCACCCAGCATTCCCTGTCTGCTTTCTGGTAGATACTCCAATTTATAAAGTGTAGCACCAAAGCGTAGCATCCAAAATAAACCAAATACTACACCCGTAGAATAACGACGCTAAGGTCAGAGACCAGGGCACTGAAGTAACCAATGAGAAACAAAGGACACACTGCGCTAAAAATCCCAAAGGAGCAAAGTGTGAACGTTAACCCAACCGCACGACACAATGCTGCAGTACGGTAAAGAAAATTTTGGTATGAACGGTGCTCAACAAAAGTAAACTTAACCAAATGAACTGGTAAACCTACGCCAAATGTCTGAATAAATGAAATTTAAGTAAAATTTACGGAAGCAGATGCTAATAAAGTATATTCCTTTGTTGTTTTTACTAAGTAGTCATGCTAGTGTGCAACATTAGTTAAAGAAAGGTATGTTTTTGTATTGTAGAAATGCTATGGAAAGGACTCCAAATGCCAAAAAGAGGCGTGCTCATCTAAATGCCTCCTGAAGAATGGAAAACATTAGGAAAGCAATTGGATTGACCAACGTGTTATTGTACTGTCAGGAAAAAGGTCTCCTACCAGCAATCGAAGCCGCCTGCAGCGTAATAATTACTGATAAATGTAAGGCATACAGCGCCCTACCTGCAGGAGGGTATTAACACTACATTGACGACCACTCGAGAAATTTTTTTGGATCCTGAAATAAGCTGCCACACAAACGCCATCGAGACAAAGCCCAATAGTGAATATGGTTCCGCCTTGACCTAAAGGTCCCTTAAACGGATTGTTGGTGGGTTTTTTTAAACTTGTGTTGATATCGCTTGTCCGTTTGTTCGGTGAAAGTGACTGCGATAGTTTTGGCAGGGAAGAATCGATCACTGAGAACAACATGGTCAACAAAGCTGAAACCGGTTACCAGATACGATAAAGGAAAGATTACATGCAAGCAACGCTGATTATCCCCATCGACTGTCGGTAAGGCCATGATATCGACCCGAACGTCAGGTCAAATTACAAGTAATCGAAATTGGAACCGAATCCCAGGCAACTGAGGGGACCAAACGCCCCAATACGGAATGGAACCCATCAAAAGGACAACTTAACCCTAAGAATGGGGAGAAAGTAAATACCTGCAAGTTCCCCTTAACGAAAGATTTGCGTGTGGGGGTTTTGCAGTGACTAAAAGAAGCGCATTCCTATCGAGCTGGTAAAGTAACCACCTTGGACACCAGGATGTTATGGATAGTCACATATCAGAAGTTGAGGTTAAACTGACGAGGTTTGGGGAGGAAAAAAGTCTCTAGTACTTTCCGTTTACAAACGATTATCATGGGGACAGCAGTGATTCAACGGATGACATCGATGTCTTATCCGCAAAAGGAAACGTCGTTGAACCTGTGACCGGTATTGATGGCAACGTATTGAAAGGATGGAGGGAACAAAACTACTGGTATGGATGACAACCTATCGAAAGGTAAACTAAACCTAAAAGAGACAAAAGGAAATCTCTAGTACTTGCTTTTTGCGAAAGATTTCCGTGTGTAGACACGGACTCGGCGGATGGCATCTATGTAGAAGGCTCTAAAGCCATCTATGTTTAACCTGCGGCCGGTACTGATGGTGACATACTGAGAAATAAACCGAACCCCAGGAGATGGACGGAACAAAACACCTGGTATGGATTGCAACTTATTAAAAGTTACACCAAACTCAAAAGGGGGAGAAGGAAATCTCTAGAACATGCCGTCTACGAAAGATTCCCCCCTGGGGCTGCAGTGACTCAAAGTATGGTATCGTTGACGTATCCGCTAAAGGTAACACAGTTGTACCTGTGATCGGTATTAATGACAACTTATCGAAATATAAACAGAACACTATGCGCCTGAGGGAAGAAACTCCCAAGTATAGATTACAACGTATCGAAAGGCAGACCGATTGTAACGGAGTTGGGGAAAGAAAACCCCTAGTACTCGCCTTCACGAAGGATTCCCGTCTGGGGTGCTACAATGACTAAACGAATGGCATTGCTATGGAGATGGTATAGCAACGTTGGTAAACACCATGACGATATGGACGGCTACTTATCGATAGTTGAACTAGAGCTAACTAGGTTTGGGGAAGAAAATCTCAAGTACTTGCCTTTTACGAAAGATTTCCGTGCGTGAATCAACGGATGTCGTGGCCTGTGGAAGACGTTGAGGAAACTCGCATTCCTGTCATGTGCTTGTTTTACTACTTTAACGAAACGGCGAAGCAGACCGCGCGCAAATTAAAACATGTTTATAGGGAGCGTGAAGAGTGACAGTGAACAGGTAATCCAGGGTTATTGATGAAAGTTGGCCGGGTTGGGTGGGACAGTATGCGCCAAGCGAAATTTAACCCAACCCTTATCCTAAGCCCAGAACCAGACCTTTCTCTAACCCAGGACTTAATTCTAAGTTGAACTGTTTTCAAAGACCCGGTTAGAAACTCAACCCTAACATAAAAGACCTGCCAGAAGCAAGTAAGTAGGTATGCTACGAGAATGAAAGCATGGGCTCACATATTCAATCATCATTGAAGTTAATTTTCTCCATGATTTTCGCATCACATCTAGCCCATCGCCGAGCTAAGGAGGCTCAGTGTGATGCCTGACCAATCACGGCCGTCCACATTGGTCAGTCGACCCCAGGACTGACGCAAAATGAGGACAACATTATAACTGAGGCTAGGTGCAACGTTCCACCGTTCTTTTATGACGGCATCTAACCAGTTACAATTGCCAGAGAATTACGTCCCCTTAAATGTCAATTCGACTTTAACATGATTCACTGTTAGGACAGTTTATGGGACGCTCACTTCGGCATTCAGGTAGTCTTAGGTACATTTTGTTTCTATTTCTGTTGATAGGTGGGTTACTTATTTAAAAAAAACTCATAAAAGTGAGAAAACCTCTATATGAACACTCAGAATCCCAAAAAATGATTTAGAGAAACTCAGAGGAGATGATGGTTGTTTTTCGTACTATAGAATTGACGGCAGACAGTGTCGAAAATAAGCAGGGTGAAGACTCATATTTTTATTTACAGTCACACTGCATTCTGGTAATGTTAGTAGTAGTAGCTTAAGTAGCAGTAGTAGTAGTAGTAGTAGTAGTAGTAGTAGTAGTAGCAGTGGTAGTTGTATCAGTAGTATTGGAGTGGCGTTAATACAGAAATCCGACGCGGTGTTGCGAGTAGTCATCGTGGCGACATCGCGCCTCTCGCTGGTACCTGCGCCTAGCGACAGTTGGTTTAGGCACGCATGTCCGCCTGGCTTCCATTTGTCTCGCTGTAATTCTGTGCACACCACACTTCTGGCCGATTCTCTGCCTGCGGGGCTTTGTAAAACCCCAGCAGAAGTGACGGACAGAGACCCCTTTGTCGTAATCGGTGATCTATCTTTTGTTGATCGATCGTGAGACCTGATTGCGTGCGAACCACCATCGACGGCCGACAACCGGATAAGTCAACCTTTGACACTTCCACCTATTTGCTTCCTTTTATATTTTTACCTACATAGTTATGCCGTTTCGTTAGTTTTCTCAGTTTTCCACTTTCCATGTCTTGTGTCTATATTTGTACCCACAACGTTTCAAATATTATCTTTCCTGACTGTTTTTTCCATTGCTCATTATCGTTCCGTTTTTAGCAAACCTGGTAATAGTATGAGCATCCAGTTAGACGTTGACTCTCGCACTTTAATAAACAGCTTGTATTTTCCATCCGTCGTCTTATCCTCGCCACTTACTCGTTTGCCCGCGTGTGAATGCTGTATGATGGGCGCTTTAGGCACGAACGTCCAAACACCGGATTCTCTGACCAAGAAACGGAAGCTATACACGGATTCGAGTAATTCTCAGTTTGTTCCTTCCGAATACACAGGATATTGCAGCTTTTCAATAACTTCGCGTGGGCTCAAAGTCAATCGATGCAACTCCTTTCGCTGATTGGTTACACAGGAGAACACAGCAGACCGGTTACGAAAACAAGATGCCCCGACACTTTTGCGGCGGCAACTTACGGCGACACCTGCGACGTCTCTCTGGAGGACGCCGCCTTCGCGGCGCCGTCCGGCTGCCAGCTTTCCTTACTTACTCTGTACAGAATAGATCCTCTCTCGAAGTAACGTCCAGCTCTTTTCTCTCTCCCAATCGGGTACCTGGCCGGGGTTACGCTATGGCTTTAGCTGTTGCGAAAGCAGATCGATCTGGTGCGTTCACGACGCAAGCGAATTCCGAATAGATGGCAGTGCTCATTAGTGGCCAACCACCCACCAGCCCTGACTCGCTCAAGCTGCGTAATGCCAGAAGTTCGGTAGAAGGATGGAGGATAGCTTTGAGCATATTATTTTTTGACTCATCCAGCCATAGCTGAAACCATCCTGTACGACTACAAACAAAACTATGTACTCTCTCAAGGGCGCGAATAACAGCTGGGTGTCAGTTTAGGATCGTAGAAAATAATCGCCATCCATATTGTGTTCGCGGTACGACCTGTCATTCCTACAATGAATATTCATTGACTGATCACTGCCGATGACGGTTGAGATGACACTTGCTATGTTAATAACTTAGATTTATAATACTCAATTAATGGTGCATTATCGTGGACTGCCGATTCCTGAATGACCGATTTGCACATATAGTTTTGCCTTTTCAAGCAGCCCTTGGACCCCGATGGTCGCTCCAAAAAACATTATAAACGGAGTAGGACAATGTACCAAAGCTTCCACGCCAATGTGAAAAGCAGAAAATATTTTAAAATAGTACTTACTACGTTCAGTGCCAGGCCATAGGAATATGCTATCACCACTTTTTTGAGGTCCACATCCATTGGATAGGTCATGTAGGCCTCAGGAACCCGAGCCCTCGTCCACTGAACGTCTGGCACGGTAGCCAAATCTTTGAAAGATAGACATCTGTCACTTAAAGTAACGTTGCCCGCGGCTGTGAAGAGGTGCTGTTCAGATCGGCAAGACCGCAGGTCGGCGTCTATCACTTTCTGCTTATCGTGGCCACCAGAGCGACACAGTCTAAGGCTTTCGGCCGGACAGTTATGAGAGAACATCGGTTGGGTAACGTGGGCAGTGTTCTGGAGAGTGGACGTAGTCTGATCTCGCGCTTTTGACGTCATTTTCCAGCTGTTGAGGAACCAGCAAATAAGCGAAAAGGCCCCGACTACGGAAAGGACTCGCAACCGGCGTGTAGATGTTAGAAAGGCCATAACCACAACTGCCTCTCAGTCCCCCTTCCAGACCTTGGGAGCCAGAACTGAAACAGAGTGTGGAATTCTTCTTAAAACCAACTGTATAGGTCACCATGTGAATTTTGCGTAAGGATGATCAGAAGTTACTGCTAGAGAGTGGAGGTGGCAAGAATGATTGGCGCTTGTTTGAGGCAAAAGTAGACAGACGCGACCTGACTTACAGAACTTTAGCAGGCGTTAGATGGCACGACTCAACTTGCACAGAGGTCAGCGCTAAAAGACGCTACTAGTCCTATGATAAACTAACCTACATGTCTGAGACAACAACAATAACACCACTCAAATGCAGCAGAAGTCCGAGGTAACTGCCTCTCCACTACTCGCCTGCAGGGAGCCATTGGAATGGCAACCCGTAAAATAAATCCGGTCTGATTTCTATATTGTACGCAAGTTAGTCTCGTCCAAAAAAGGCGAAATGACACAGGTGAGATCATTTACTGCGCTAAATATTCTTACGTGTACGTTGGCCGTGAAGGCAAAAACACTGGAGCCCACAGTGACAAGCACAATCCCTAACTCCTGACCTTAACTCTTAACCCTAACCCCTAACCCCAACAACTGCAGTATTATGTACCTCAGGTGAGGCTGCATAACCACATCTTATCAATACTAGTTCTGAAATCAAACAATTGATGCCATTCCTGATCGGTACCCCGTGCCTCATCTTCAGGACTTTGCTGGAGCCCTTTTCGGCAAAGCATTTTTCTCGAAGATTGATCTGGTGCGTGCTTTTCATCAGATTCCAGTCGCCCCTGAGGACATCCCTAAAACCGACGTCACCACACCCTTCGGTCTCTTTGAGTTCATCCGCATGCCGTTCGGTCTTCGTAATGCCGCCCAAACGTTCTAGAGGTTCATCGACCATGTCTTACGTGGCCTACCCTTTGTGTACGCCTACATTGATGACCTCTTGGTGGCCAGCCGGAATGAAGAAGAAAACAAAGAGCACCTTGCCTTAGTGTTTGACCGCCTTGACAAGTTTGGCGTTGTCATCAACCCCTCCAAGTGCGTGTTGGGTGTGCCTTCACTCGAGTTCCTCGGCCATCAGGTCGATTCTGAAGGCTTGCGTCCCCTCCCCTCCAAGGTTGAAGCAGTTCGTTATTTTTCTCCTCCAACTTCCAAGCGTCAGTTACAGCGATTCCTCGGCATGGTCAGTTTTTACCGTCGGTTCGTACCGAACTGTGCTGACCTCATGCTGCCGCTCACCAACATGCTTTCTAGTCCCTAAGGTCCCCTCGAGCTGACTGGCGAAACACTGACTGCTCTTGAGAGAATCAAGAATTCCCTTGCCGATGCCACCTTACTCACTCATCCCGCTCCCGAAGCTCAGCTGTCTCTGATGGTAGATGCTTCGAACGTAGCCGTAGGTGTAGTCCTTCAACAACACCTTGCTGGTTCGACTCAACCACTTGCCTTTTTCTCCAAAAAGCTCTTACCAGCTGAGACACGCTACAGTACCTTTGGCCGTGAAGCATTTCCGTCAGTTCCTTGAAGGTCGTGACTTCACTGTTTTTACTGACCACAAACCGTTGACTTTTGCACTTTGTTCCCACTCCGACAAGTACAATCCGAGGGAAATCGCTCACCTGGACTACATCTCCCAATTCACCACTGACATCCGCCACATTAGTGGCACGAAGAATGAGGTGGCTGATATGCTGTCCAGACCCTCACTGTCTTCCCTCCAACTCTCACACGGGATCGAGCTTTGTGCCATGGTGGCTGAGCAACAGCGAGTCGGTTGTCCTTGTGACGAGTCTGTTAGTGGTCTCCTACTCAAAGACGTTCTTCTGACCACCGGCTCTGGTACCACACTTTGTGACGTCTCAACTCCCTTTCATCGCCCTTTCGTGCCCTCCTCTATGCGTCGAGCTGTATTTCAAACTTTGCATGGACTCTCCCACCCTGGGATCCGTGCCTCGCTAAAGCTCCTTGCGAAAGGTTTGTCTGGACTGGCATGAACAAGGACGTCAAAGCTTGGGCTCGGTCGTGTCTGAGTTGCCACCGCGACAAGGTGCAACGTCACAACAAGTCCCCACTTGACACTTTCCCCAGTCCCGACGCACGGTTTAGCCATGTGCACCTGGATGTTGTAGGCCCCTTGCCTCCATCCAACGGTTTCACCTACCTCCTTACCTGTGCCGATCGATACACCCGCTGGGCTGAAGCTGTTCCTTTGCCGAATGTGCAGCCTGAAATCATCGTGAAGGCCTTCGTCAGTCGTTGGGTCGCCATCTTCGGTGTCCCGTCCACGGTTACGACCGATCGTGGTGCCCAGTTTGAGTCGGCACTCTTCCAAACGCTACTCAATTTTCTTGGCTGCACACGCATTCGGACGACAGCCTACCACCTAGCTGCCAATGGTATAGTGGAACGTTTCCATCGCCAGCTAAAGACTACCTTGCGTGCCGTAGAAGACCCAGGAAACTGGTCGGACAACCTTCCTCTTGCACTCCTCGGCATCCGCGCAGCTCTGAAGTCGGATCTCGGCTGTAGCGCAGCTGAATTGGTTTTTGGCACTACCCTCCGACTGCCAGGCGAGATGACCACCCCAACCTCTCGTGGAGCCGACGAGAATCCTGCCAATCAGGTGCACCGTTTGCGGCAATTTATGCGCTCGCTTTCCCCGGTTCCACCTCGAGCTCTAATGACTGAGTCTTATGTCGAAAGAGACTTGGACAAGTGTACTCACGTGTTTGTCCGGTGTGACCGTGTGTGCCAGCCGCTAGAATCATCATACGAATGACCGTTCCGCGTGCTCGCGCGCAACGCAAAGAACTTCCGGATTCTTTGCAGTGACAAGGAGAACGTGGTCAGTGTCGATCGGGTCAAGGCTGCTGTTGCAGAGGAGCCGCCGGACCTGTCACAAGGACAAAAATGTGCTGACCCCCTAACCCCTGTTCCTCCATCTTCCCTATCCCCTGCTCATTCACCCTGTCCACTGCCTTGCCCTTCCCCTTCGCCCCGAATACTTCCTCCCCCTACTTGTCTACAGCATTCAACTGCAACATCATCCTCCACTATAGCACGCAGTCAACCCACTTCGACTGTACCTCCTGCTTACATTACCCGCAGTGGCCGTCATGTCCATTTTCCCGATCGTTTAGTTACGCATTTTTCTAGACTTGTGCATATCCTCCGGTGCCGTATTCCGTCGCCCTCCGGTCTAGAGGGGGGGGTACTGTGGTGAGGTACCTGAGTAATTTACCTTTGACAACTTAGTCCCATTTTCCTTGACCGGATTGCTTGCTTGAATGTGACGAGAAACGACACACCTATACAACCCGCGTTGCTAGCGTGCTCCTCTGTCGTGGTCTGTTGTCAGTTTTCTTAACGTTCAAAATCTCTATATTATTCACTGCTCCGATTTACTTGCTGCCTTTAAGGCTACGGGCTCGTGAGATATAACTCGTTAGTTCGTGGGAACATCACCTTTCAGGATACTGCAATTCAAACTTGTTCACGACATTTTACTGCAAAAGAGTATCTGATGTGCACGTTAATTTGCGCCTGAAAGGTCATGTATAAGGCCATACTGGCTTTGGCCTGTTTATTAACGCCTGCTAACGTTACCGTGGTCAGAAGTTATAATTAAACTGCAGTTGCATCGTTTATGTCTGCCGTGCAGTCCTGTGGCTGACAAATCATCCGCAGGCATCGATGTGTTACTGATTATTTTTGATAAGGCTGATGTTCCTGTGTCGTGAGTAGTTTAGGCATAATTTTCCATAGCGAACGATGTGAATGCCTTAGGCGGCATATTAAAGACCAGCCGGATGAAGCCTCATTGACCTGTTCCATTTCCTTTGGCGTGGGCATGACGTGGATGAGTCAGGCCATAGAGTGCAAAGAACCGAATAATCCCTCTAGTACACCTTCCCCCTTAAACTATTCTGTGTGATGCAAGGCGAATCCGGGTAATGTGCGGGGTCTTTCAACAAATACATGTTTGCACACACTTTTGGGAACGGCGTATAGAAGGAGGAAATCTAAGCTCAATGCAAGAAATTTTTTTGCGTTTTGCGATTGCAAATTTCAATGCCTTTACCGTATTTGATGGCTTTAAAATTATCTTCCAAATGACTGTACCTTGTGTGATCGCCGACTTTCAGCATACGAATGGTGCTCCTGATAACGGTAATGTGACATATGCGTGGGCAACTGGTTCAGATTAAGCACCTTTGGCGTAAAATTGCGAGATCTTTGCTTTGATCTAAATGACGAAACTACTTGGTTTGGTGTTTCGGAAATTTACTTGCTACATAACGAAAAGGTATTCAGCAAAAAAACTAAACCTGTTTACAGAAACAACAAGAATTTTATGGACTTTATAAGATGACAGTAGTGATGTTTTTTACGCCCTATTTAAAGCAGGAATAGAACTTTATTTAAGAAATATAAACCTCCCATGAAAATAACCGTAAATCTTTTGAAACATGTATACTTCAATTTACAAAAGCATAAAAAGCCAGTTTACTGCTTCTAACTGGTAAAATATTGTCAAAGAACACACAGGACAGTGAACCCGCAATACTCATCAGTATTCTCAGGTGACCAGTATTGTTAGCCCATCGAGGGCATACTTAGATAATCATGTCAGTGCCCTTAGAGCACCAATGGATAAGAAGGAGAGAGAACTCTGAAATACGCATGGAGTGGCAACAAAGGGCAGTGGAGTTTCCAAAGCACTTGGGTAGTGCAATTAAGGCTATGCTGCATGGTATAAAGATAATACATTATGTGGACGTCATTTAACGGGTGCAAAAACGCATGCATTAAGAAAATACTAATGTATAACGTGCTAAATAGGTGCGTACAGATAATAAAGAGTGATCTGCGGGGATTCTATTAAGCGAATTTAGCTAGCAACGCTTAGTTGCTACCGCTAAGTGTAAAAGCGTACTTCGAAGTTGTTATAGCAAAAAAACAAAAAATCATCCCTGATTTATTTTCTGCTTGTCATTCAAATATCAGTCGGTTCTTATAAACAAAAGTGTGTTTATGCTGGATAGCAGAGAAGTTGCGGCTTTATTCCCCGTATCACCCCGCATTAATCTAAGATAGTAATCAAGTAAACGCCACGGGGTGAACTGTGTGCTTGGATCGTTCACATTACATGTTTTTTAAGTCTCCGTGCTGTGAGGGATGAAAGGCGTAAGTAGCCAAAAATATGTTCAGGCGCAGATTCCTTGACGCCTATATAGGCAATATGATCGTCACTGTTCTATAATACAGACAAATTTGAAGACATCTCACCGTTAAAGGACACCCAATATGCACGTCAACTATCGTCTGAAGCGTCAAGAGTGTGATCAGCGTGTCTTGTAATTGAAAGGCTTTCATAAATGATCAGCCGAAAATTTGTGATGATGAACGCAACATTTGCAAGTAAAGCTAGAAATACTCATACTGTGCAGAAGTATTCACAACCAAAAAATAAATATGTTTTTGAAAAATCGGTCGAAATACACTGGATATGTACATAAGGTGGGCTAACTCATGAAATGTCGACCAAAATTTTGAAATGTGCATTCGTTTAGAAAAAATGCACTAAGTATGGTTGTAGCAATAATCATATTCCGGCATAATTCCTTAATGATCCGGTTAACGGAGGGTGTCTACTTTCGAATGAACGTATTTTCGACTGCATGCAAGAACGATGCTTTGCAAAAAACGAATACGTAAGTAGCATGCAATTTTCACATTGATTTTCGATGCCCTTAAAAATTCAACTACATTTTATGGAAAACATGCATTAAAAAACTCATTCTTTACTTATTCTGCCGAAAATCACATCATCTTTCCATTGAATTCTCGAAGAACCAGTATGATTAGGTTTCGAAAAAGTGTTGGATTTTAAGATTTTTTTTTAATACCGTGAAATGGCCATTTATAAAACGTCACGTATCTGCATTTACCAATGTGGCTTGTAAAGTTAACAATATTACTCAAATCCACTGCTAAATTGCGTTGATCCCATATGATTTCCTCTTAATACCGTAGAGAAATGTGTGGTTTTTCTACGCGGAAAATACATGGCTTGCAGTTTATAAAACCTGAATTCAAATATAACAGCAGGTCTGGTTCAGAATAATTCGGGCACTAGAATGGGTTTTCAGTATCGAATTATACACCTCCTTTGAGTATAAAATGGAAAGATGTTGTGGATTTCGACCGAATAAGTAAAGAATGAATACTTTAATGCATGTCTTCATAAAATGTAATTGAATTTTTAAGGGCATCGAAAATCAATGTGAAAATTGCATGCTACTTACAGTACCTGTGCTAACTCATGAAATGCCGAGGTCAAAATTATAATGGACAATGTAGTGTATTTCTGGTGTCGTTATTTGTGTTTATTTGGTTGAAATAAGGACGAAAAGACCGTTTTCTGAAGGAAAGTTTGATACGGATCTGTATATTAAATAGAAAACGGGCCGGATTAAGGCGAAATCGGAGGATTCCAGATATTCAAGCAGTTTCCTACGCTATTAAAGCTTTCGGATGGAAATTCTTTGTGTAACCTTATTAATCTGTTTAAGAAGATTAATAAAAGGACGAAATTTTTTGATAAACTTTCGAACAAAAAGAAAAAATTAAATTTCAATATCAACAAAATCAGGGAAATGCAGATAAATTATTTCTTATTGTGTTCAGGAAATAACGTGCGATTCTTCATCTAAAAATTCTATTTTACAAATTCGTAAAGTTTTATGTTTCAAAATACCGAAATAAAAAAGTTTATCAGTGTGATTGTTTTACCAGACTGAAAATGCGTGTCGTAAACGAATATATATTGAGTTCGCGCGACATGCCGTCACTTTGCTCTGCCACGCCAAACGATAACTATGTCTAAACAATACTTATCCGAAGTTGACTTCCAGCGCATTCGAAAATTAGCGGCGGAAGGAATCCCGCGTGAGTCGTTAGCTAATATTTTCAATATTAGCGAGGTCACTCTGTGGCGCATTATTAATGATAAAACTGTTCCTAGAAATAAGATAGGGGGACCAAAACGGTCCACAAGTAAGCAAGACGACGATTTTATTCGTGGTACATTAAAAAAGTTTCATTACATGCCCATTGAGGCCATTCAGCGGGAACATCTGCCGATGTTTTCTATGAACATCATTAGAAAAAGGATGAAGGAATTTGAACTGCAGCGGCGGAAGGCCATGATTAAGCCATATTTAAGTAGAAAACTAATTAGAGAACGGCTTTTATTTGCTAAGAATTATATTGAATACAGATCTTCATTTTGGAAGAGCCTTTTCTTCTGCGATGAGGTTCTATTTTTAGACAAGCCTACGAAGTCGCTCCAAACTGTCATATGTGGAAAGAACTTCCCAAGAGAACATACTACACCGACGCAACATTCAAGAACTGTCGGCGGATGATGGTTTGGATGGCGATTAAATTCGGTGAGCGGCCTGTCTGGCGGTCAACATCCGACACCATCAACAGCAAGGTGTTCATTGCAATTGTCAAGGATGCTTTCGGCTACAACGGCATAAGTCGGCGCCGAATGGATACTGTAATTTTGCAGGACAATGCACCTGTCCACCGCTCTAAAGAGGTACGAATTTGATGCCGCTTGCAAACATAATCTAACATTTTAGACAACAACCACGGTCTCCGCAATTGGCCTCCAATCCATTTTCATCCCGGCCAACAGTCCCGACCTTAATCCAATCGAAAATCTTTTTGGAATAGTCAAAAGAAATTGGCACAAAGCTAAGAAGACTC